TTGTGCCTAACGCATGGAGAAGGCGTGAGGTTTGCTCTTCCTGCTGGCTGCAATGTTGCTGCAGACTCTCGCCCCTGCTCTTCCCACTGGGCTGGGGAGGGGGGGGAGGGCCCCCTGACCGTCCCTTGCTGAGTAACCAAAATGATCAAGGGGTGGAGCGACTCCCCATGGCGAAAGAAAGCCAAGCTGCATTGTTTGGGACTTTTCAGTTTGGAGGAAAAGAGAGCAAGGGCTTCTCCTTTCTCCCACTCTTTCCAGGTACACTCTGCGCTTTAAAGCTCCATGTCTGACCACCCCCCCTTTTTTTTTTTAGTCCACAGTTTTCCCTTGGAGTTTAAAGCTGAATTGGAGCAAATGCAAGTGAAAAACCTGAACTGATGTTTGCTCCGATGATGAGGATGATGATAATTACAGCGGTACCTCTGGATGTGAACGGGATCCATTCCGGAGCCCTGTTCGCATCCTGAGTAGAATGCACAGCGTCTGCACATGCGCAAGCGGCAAAACCCTGAAGTAACGTGTTCTGCTACTTCCGGGTCGCCGCGGAGCGTAACCTGAAAAGGCTCTACCTGAAGCATATTTAACCCGAGGTATAACTGTATTATTATTATTATTATTATTATTATTATTATTATTATTATACCCCACCAATCTGGCTGGTTTCCCCAGCCGCCCTGGGCAGCTTACAGCACACATAAAGAATTGTAAAACATCAGACATTGGAAATTTCCCGATCCATGGCTGCCTTCAGACGTCTTCTAAAAGTCAGGTGGTTGTTTATTTCCTTGACATCTGATGGGAGGCCGTTCCATGGCGGGCACCACTACCAAGAAGGCCCTCTGCCTGGTTAAACGCTAACGAGTGAGTTATTGTGGGGAAAGCTCTGGACCAAAAAAACACACCCACCACTCAGTGTTTGCACTGCAGAGGGTTGGACTAGATGACCCCTGCGGTCCCTTCCAACTCTACAATTCTCTGATTTGGACACAGGCCTTTACAACCCTGGCCTGGAGAAAGCAGAGAAAAGTTTTCCTCTTTCTCGTAACTCTAGGACTCGGAAGCATCCCACTTAGCTGAATGTTGGAAGAATCAGGACGGAAAGCTGAATGTTGGAAGAATCAGGACGGAAAGCAGAGAGATACATTTGGCACCAGCTTGTCTGCAGGAGTTGCGAGAAGGAGCTGTAAAAACTGCAACCCAACTGTCTTAGGGACTCTCCTCCAGATCTTAACCAAGCTTATTCCTGAGCCCTTCCTTCTCCCAAAGATGTCCACAAGGCAGCAGGTACAGATTTTTCCTTGGCGTTTGCTCCTGAAGCCTTTCTCATGAATGGGTATATCTGTGTTATGAGAATTTTAAGGTCTTAAAGGTAAAGGAACCCCTGACCATTAGGTCCAGTCGTGACCGACTCTGGGGTTGCAGTGCTCATCTCACTTTATTGGCCAAGGGAGCCGGCGTACAGCTTCCGGGTCATGTGGCCAGCATGACCAAGCTGCTTCTGGCGAACCAGAGCAGCGCACAGAAGCGCCATTTACCCTCCCACCGGAGCGGTACCTATTTATCTACTTGCACTTTGACGTGCTTTTGAACTGCTAGGTTGGCAGGAGCAGGGACCGAGCAACAGGAGCTCACTCCATCACAGGGATTCGAACCGCCGACCTTCTGATTGGCAAGTCCTAGGCTCTGTGGTTTAACCCACAGTGCCACCCGCGTCCCTTTTTAAGGTCTTAGATATGTCTTTTTAAGGTCTTAGATATCCAATCAAGTAAGCATTAAGAGGCTCCTTCCGTTAATTTGTCCAAACTCTTTTTCAGACTGTCCCAAGTTGCGGGTCGGTCCATCTGGTTAGGAACCTAGGAAACCGCCTTACCTGGAGTTAGGCTGCTGTTGTTCCATCTATTTTAGGATTGTCTAAAAGCCGAGACATCACCTTGCCAACAAAGGTCCATATAGTTAAAGCTATGGTTTCCCAGTAGTGACGTATGGAAGTGAGAGCTGGACCATAAAGAAGGCTGATCGCCGAAGAATTGATGCTTTTGAATTATGGTGCTGGAGGAGACTCTTGAGAGTCCCATGGACTGCAAGAAGATCAAACCTCTCCATTCTGAAGGAAATCAGCCCTGAGTGCTCACTGGAAGGACAGATCCTGAAGCTGAGGCTCCAATACTTTGGCCACCTCATGAGAAGAGAAGACTCCCTGGAAAAGACCCTGATGTTGGGAAAGATGGAGGGCACAAGGAGAAGGGGACGACAGAGGACGAGATGGTGGGAGGCAGTGGAAGACAGGAGTACCTGGCGTGCTCTGGTTCAGGGGGTCACGAAGAGTCGGACACGACTAAACGACTAAACAACAACAACAACTCTGACTGGTAGCATCTCTCCAGGGTTTCGGGCAGAGGACACACCTCGCCCTACCTGGACACGCCAGGAATCGAACCTGGAACCTTCTGCCTGCAAAGCAGGCGCTCTCATTGAGCTACAGCCTTACAGCCCTTTCCCTAACAAGAAGCTGCCTTAGTGGAGTTGTGAGAAGACAAAGTATTTCTGGAACAAGGCGTTTACCATACCACCTGTGATTTCATAAGGAAGCTGGTCCTTGAGGAGGAACTGTGAGGGGAGGGACTCCCAGAGGCAAGGCCTTCTTCCACCTGCCCTCCAGTCTCTGCTTCTCAATTTGTATTGCATTATTTTATGCACTGTGGCTTGCCGCTGTTTTATTGATTGTAGTTTCGAAATTATTTATTGTAATTGTTAAGAGTGGGTTTCTGTTTAATTTTTATATGCTGATATTATTATTCTATACTATTCTAATGATTGTTGAATGTTACTTTATTTGATGTAGATTGCTTATTTTAAAGCTGTTTTATTATCACATTTTTGTCTTGCATTAGATTGTTATAAGGTGTACATTCTTTGTTTCTTCAGCTTGTAAACCACCTTGAGTATTGTAAGAGAGAAAGGCGGTATACAAATTAAAAGTGATGATGGGTGATGATTTCAGGACCCATGATAGCATTATTGTAAGATTGCCAGACATCCCCGTTTCCCAGGGACAGTCCCCGGATTTACAAATCAGTCCCCATACAAAATCCATTGAAGTTGAAAAGTGTCCCCGGATTCATTGAAAAAAAATCTGGTAACCTTACATTATTGTCAATTGTTAACACAAAAACTCAATCAGATCAGAATTAGCAAATCATTGGAAAGATGCAAACTACATTGTCATACCACAAGTAAAATAATAATAATAATAATAATAATAATAATAATAATAATTTTATCCTGCCCATCTGACTAGGTTGCCCCAGCCACTCAGGGTGGCTTCCGCAAGTGGCTTCATAGAGTTTGGCGCGCCACCCTGTACGAAAAACTGGCACGGCTCGGCTGATGTGAGGCACAACCAAAAAAGGTCAGTTTTTAGTAATCTGGCAACTTTTCATCAACTTTGTAAACAAACAGCAAAGCTTGCGATGTCCTAGAGGTGATGCTTCATTCTGGAGAGGATGCCTTCTTAATGTGGTAGAACCGGACTGAATTTTCCTTCTCTATCTCCTTATTTTACTCTCTCACTCCCCCCCACTCCGGGCCCCTCTCTCCTGGACTCCCAGCCAGAAAAAAGTAAAGGTTGCTTGCAAATAACTCTTCGCTTTGTTGATGTGACAAAAGGTTTTTATTCATGTTGTATGTTGCACATTCTTGGGAGAAAGGCAATGACAAACCTAGACAGCATCTTAAAAAGCAGAGACATCACCTTGCCAACAAAGGTCCATATAGTTAAAGCTCTGGTTTTCCCAGTAGTGGCGTATGGAAGTGAGAGCTGGACCATCAAGAAGGCTGATCGCCGAAGAATTAATGCTTTTGAATTATGGTGCTGGAGGAGACTCTTGAGAGTCCCATGGACTGCAAGAAGATCAAACCTATCCCTTCTTAAGGAAAATCAGCCCTGAGTGCTCACTGGAAGGACAGATCCTGAAGCTAAGGCTCCAATACTTTGGCCACCTCATGAGAAGAGAAGACTCCCTGGAAAAGACCCTCATGTTGGGAAAGATGGAGGGCACAAGGAGAAGGGGACGACAGAGGATGAGATGGTTGGATAGTGTTCTCGAAGCTACCAGCATGAGTTTGACCAAACCGCGGGAGGCAGTGGAAGACAGGAGTGCCTGGCGTGCTTTGGCCCATGGGGTCACAAAGAGGCGGACACGACTAAACGACTAAACAACAACAAATGTTGCACATCTCTTTTATGTCTGTTAAAATTTCAGTTAAAATATGTTGAATGGAAAAAAGCAGCTGCCTTATCCTGCTTCAAGCTGCTGGTCCGCCCAGACTAGTATTGCTGACACTGGCTGGCAGCATTCTCCAGGATTTCAGGTGCTAAGGACTGAACCCAGAGCCTTCTGCAAGCAAAGCTGCTGCCCTGCCACTGCGCTACGCAGCCCTTCCCCTAACAACAAGCTGCCTCACACAGAGCCCATCCAGGCCAGTTTTGTCAACACGGGCTGGCAGCAGTACTTTGGGGGGACTGGATCCGAGCTTTCTGCAAGCTGCTCGGCCCTTTCCCTAGCAAGAAGCTGCTTTATACGAAGTCCACCCAGAATGGTATTGCCGACACGGATGGGCAGCAGCACTTCGGGTTTTCAGATGCTGACGAGGGAACCCGAGCCTTCTGCTGCTGCTGCTCTGCCACTGCGCCCTTCCTCCAACAAGGCGCTGCCTCATTCAGAGCCCATCCAGACTAGTATTACCGACACGGGCCGCCAGACACTTGAACCCGGAGCCTTGTGTAGGCAGAGAGTTGCCCTCTTTCCCCCTACGGAGCCGGCGAGCAGGGGCGCGCGGGGAGCCCTGCGACCTCTCCAACTCCTGTGCGCTCTCGGCCGCCTCTCCGCGCTTTCTCCTCCGCCCCTGCGCGCCGTTTCCTGGCGAGGCGAAGAGCCGCCTCCGAGGGTGGGAAAGATGCGGGGCGGCGGAGCGGCGGCTCGGCGGCCCTCTCGCTTACACAACCCCGGCCGCCTTCCGCCGTCGAGGACCGAAACTGGGCGCTAGGAAGTTTCCCTGCGCGCCCGGGCGCTTCTCCGAGCGCGCCAGAGCGCCAACTTCTCCCTCCGACGACGACGCGCCCCGAGGAGCCTTTCGCCGCCAGAGCGCGCGGCCCGCCCGGCTCTCCCGCGGCCCCCGAGGGGCGGCTCCTCCTTCCTTCCCGGACCCGGGCTGCCTTTTACATAACCGCCCGAAAAAGGCGTCGCCACCGCCGCCCGGGCGCCTGGAGGGGGCGAGGCGAGCTCGGTCCCTTCGCCACCGCCTGGTCTCTCGACGAGGCGGACTCTCCTCGCTGCTGCTGCTGCCGCCGCCCCGGCGAGGGCTGTGGGCGGACGGGCGCCGGGCAAGGCGCACCATGGGCCACGGGACGAGCGCCGGCTTCTCCTACAGGTAAGGGGATCCCCCCTTTTCCCCGCTCCCCCTTTCTCTTCCCTAGCGCGCCTCAGCTCCGGGAAATACTTCGAGTTTGGGTTTACTTGTTTGAGGTCTATCTCTCTCCCCCCCTTCCAATAAAAAGGGCATCTTCGTGTATTTTGTTCAAAGTTGATTGCTCGGGGACAAAACACGAGCCCCCCCCAAAAAAACTGGGGTTTTCCCTTGTGCTGTAGTATATAAAAAGAGTGCCCCTGAGCATGGACAGAGTGCCCATTCCTTAGCACTGAGGAGCTGTTAGCTCAGAATATGAAGGGGTGGGCAGGCTGAGCTGAGCACCGCCAGGAGGCAGGCAGCATGGAAATTAGTCCGGATGGGAAAGCTGCCCCTGTTGGATTTCTGACAGCTGGGTTTAGATGTGAAGAGTGCAGGATTTTTGCAACTACCCGTATTTTTCGCTCTATAACACGCACCATACCATAACACGCACGTAGTTTTTAGAGGAGGAAAACAAGAAAAAAAATGGATATATAGTGGATATATGATTTTTGTGGTTCATGCTGTGGCCACAGACATGTGATCTGACAGTGAGTTTGGAGTAGCCCAAATCAAAAATCCTGAGGATCCATGTGGATCCATGCTTTGTAACCACGGAGGAGGGAAGGAAGGGGAACCATGGATCTTCTGCTCACGACTGCAGCAGATCCCCCCCCCCCTGCCACCCGCAGGCATTCACTCCATAACACGCACAGACATTTCCCCTTACTTTCTAGGAGGAAAAACGTGAGTGTTATGGAGCAAAAAATACGGTACTTTCCCCTGCTCTCCTGCATACATTGGGGAATGGCTGTGATCTGCCATCTTGCCTCCCTCAATGCTTATTATTGTTATCATTAGTGTAGGAGCATTTATTATTCCCCCCTCCCCACAATTCACCCCAAGATTTTGGGGTGGTTACAGCAATTAGAACATTTCATTTCACTTTTAATTTGTATACCGCCTTTCTGTATTGCTACGCACAAGCAACAAAATATACAACAAAGAACACACGCCTTAGAACAAAAATCGTAATAAAACGTAACTTTAAAGTGGGGAAACTTATATTAAATGGAATACAGTGGTACCTCGGGTTACATACGCTTCAGGTTACGTACGCTTCAAGTTACACACTCCGCTAACCCAGAAATAGTGCTTCAGGTTAAGAACTTTGCTTGAGGATGAGAACAGAAATTGTGTTCCGGCGGCGCGGCAGCAGGAGGAGGCCCCATTAACTAAAGTGGTGCTTCAGGTTAAGAACAGTTTCAGGTTAAGTACGGACCTCCGGAACGAATTAAGTACTTAACCCGAGGTACCACTGTAATAGTCAATAATCTATTGGCATATAATAGTGCACAATAAAATTAACTCTCGAAAAACATCAGCAAATGATAAACAGAAATTCACTCTTAATAATAATTACCAAACCATGATCTGTAAGAATAACTGCAAGACACAAGGCATAACCGTTTGAAGGTTGAGAAGTGAATATTCAGCATTCACCGCAAGTTGTATGCTGTACAATGAAGGTGCCAGACAGGCGCATCTCTGTGGGGAGGGAGCCCCACAATTTAGGGGCTGCTATGGGGAATGCCCAGGGACGCGGACTTATAAAAAATATTGGGGGGCCCGGGAAAGCTCATGAATAATAAATAAGCTCATGAATATGCAAATAAAGTGGCGCCGCCTCCTCGTGAGCGAATAGGGGAGAGCGTGCTGCGCCTATTAATCAGCTCCAAAGGAAATTGGGTGGAGCTTTTGCTCGGGAGGGAGGGCAGGAGGCATGCAGCCCGCCCCTCCCTGTGCATTTTGGGCTGGGGGAGGGGCGGCGATGGCGCTCTGCTGGAGGGGCGCCGGAGATTATTGGGGGGGCGGAGCCCCCCCAAACGAATTTTTGAGGGGGCTCGGGCCCCCTCAAGCCCCATGGAGTCGGCGCCTATGGGAATGCCCTCTCCCCCTGGGCCACCCAGTAACCCTGAAATTCTGAGCGTGATAGAACTACCCCAAAGGGTGGTTTATCTTGGTACCGGAGAGGGTCTGCAGCAAGCTTACCAGATTATTTTTCAATGAATGTGGGGACACTTTTCAACTTCAATGGATTTTGTATGGGGACTGGTTTGTAAATCCGGGGACTGACCCTGGGAAACGGGGACGTCTGGTAACCTTAGTCCGTAGGTGGTCTTTGAGGTGTTTGGGATGTGAGCACCTTGAATTGGGCCAGGAATCAGTCCAGCTATTTTACAAGGAGAGTTCTATGAGATGTGAAAGCAACCCAGCCAGGAATCTGGCCGCTGGAATCTTGGACCAATTGAATGTACAATCTCGTGCGTGGGAGACCTTCCCCAGACCCCCACCCCTTTTAAATATATGAACCTGCCACCCCTATTATTATTATTTTTAATAATATTTTTTAAATTTTCCATTTTAACAATCTAGTCAAACCACATCATATATTCCAAATTATGCATATTATTCAATAACCAAACAGACCAAATATTATGCCAAATTATAAAATTTTTCGGGGGGACTTCACCATGGTCTGAGGTCGGGGGGCGGCGGATCTGATCACCTCATACTTCTACTGCTTTTCATAATCATTCCCAATAGTTCCCATAAGCCATTCTGATGTTAATCCTCATTACAGTGGTACCTCGGGTTACACATGCTTCAGGTTACATACGCTTCAGGTTACAGACTCCGCTAACCCAGAAATAGTACCTCGGGTTAAGAACTTTGCTTCAGGATGAGAACAGAAATCGTGCTCCAGCGGTGCGGCAGCAGCAGGAGGCCTCATTAGCTAAAGTGGTGCTTCAGGTTAAGAACAGTTTCAGGTTAAGAACGGACCTCTGGAACAAATTAAGTACTTAACCCGAGGTACCACTGTATTTTCCGCAGCCTCTGAGTTGTTCCGGCAAGCGAGATAGCTCGAAACAGTGTGCTTCTGTGTGGTTTTTAAGTCCAAGATTCCCCTCCGTAGCTTCGCAGCATCTCTTCACAGACGGATGTTTCTGCCAAATCCAAAAATCTTCCCGCTGCATTCAAATGCCCAGTCCATTCAGTCCAGATAAAATCCGATCAGGGCATCTGCCCAATACTTTTCCCAGACCAGTCGTCATTCAAACATTAGCCTTTCCAGGGAAGGGTTTTAATTGAAAATCCAAACGTGAAATATTGAAGATTCAACTCCCCCTGACTAGGTAATTTGATTTAACAAGCTGGTCGGTATTTGAACCTGCCACCCCTAAGTTGGGGGGGGGTCCCCTCTCCCTGCTGCCTGCCATGGGGTGGCCTCCATGCACCTCGATGCAAAATGTGTTGCTGCTTTGAGGGTTGCCAGATTGGGTCAGGGAACCTCTGTCTTTTTGAGTGGGCAGCTAAAATAGAACACAATACACGGAGACACTTTTCCTCTCTTAACTTTTCCTCTCCGTGCCTGGAAGACCTTTTGTCTGCTAGATTTCTGCCTGCATAAAAGGTGAAAAGTTGGCAACTCTTAACCGCACGTGTGGCAGGAGAAATCTTACAGGTGTTGATAGTTGTGAAGAACTGAGATGCGAGATGTGGTGGGGGGCGAATGACTTTTAAAAGTCAGGCTGTATAAATGGGCAGAATAAATAAATACAACCAATACATTACACATCCAATGGCAGCAAAATTTCAGCCTCTCAAATGGGTGTTCCCAGTTCCTTCATGTAACCCCCCCCCTCCCCACTGGGGCCCTTTGGTCCTAGACAAAATCATGAACACACACACCCCCAAAAAATCTTCCCTGCCCCACTGCCAAATAAGGTTGCAGCAACCCTTCCTCTTCAATGACTAGAAACTTGAAAAAAAAACCTAAAAACCCACAAACTACGTAAATTAAAGCTGAGAAAGTCAGGCTTCTCTTTTCTATGTGCAATGCTAATGTATGTGCCTTTGTGGAATTAGTCCAGCCATTAGTTTGCATTTGACCCATCTCTGAAAAACAGAAACAACAAAAAAAAAGGCTTTAGTTGTCAGTCATTTCCTGTGTCTCCCCTTAAATCCACTGAGAGATTCTTGAAAGTCTGTGTTCTGAGTGTATTTGGAAAAAAGAAGAATTGGTTGGTGTGATCCTTTGGCCTTTGCTAAGCTGCCCTGCTGCAAAAGATGGCCAATGGCCTTGCTATGCCTTTCAGGGCTGCAGGACAGAGAATGATTTTTCTCTCTAACCCCCCCCCCCCCAATAAGCTGCACATACTGAAATTCTCCAGCCACAGGTGGGCAAATCTGTCATTTTTGATTTCCAACAGCTCTTTTGTTGTTGTTGTTGCTGCTGCGACTTTTCTCTTTGGAAGTTTATTGTGAATCGTTCCTAATAACCACCATTTTAAAATGTAATTTCGCCCCGCCTAGCATAATGCATTGGGGTGTTATTTCATTGCTATGGATGGTGTTAGGCAATCTTCCCCTTAGTATATATTGCCCCATTAGTATAAATTTGGCCGGAGAACTGCACCACAAAATTCTGAGAAGTGCAGATTTTGAAGGATGGCTTTGTTTTCTGGTTCAGGCTGATCCAAATTAGGCCGGCTGACCCAAATCTCTCCCCCGTTATCACTATTCCTCTTACACCCAATGCTACTCTTGTGAAGGCTCTTTTAAGTCACCTTGTGACCCTCTCCATCCCAGCAAACACAATGTGCTTTAACTGTATGGTTTAGAGTTCAGGGGACAGCAAACTTTTTCAGCCGTGGGCTGGTCCACCATCCCTCAGACCATGTGGTGGGCCGGATTATATTTTGAAGAAAAAAATGAAGGAATTCCTATGCCCCACAAATAAACCAGAGATGCATTTTCAATAAAAGCACACATTCTACTCATGTAAAAACACCATGCAGGCCCCACAAATAACCCAGAGATGCATTTTAAATAAAAGGAAACATTCAACTCATGTACAAACATGCTGATTCCCGGACCGTCCATGGGCCGGATTGAGAAGGCGATTAGGCCGGATCCGG